TCTGACCCTCTGCCTGAGGAAGTCCATGTGACCATCTTTATGGAAGGCCTTCGTGCTGGCATTTCCAGAACCAAATTTCCGAGTTCACCCCTCTACTTTCGAAGAGGTCGTGAAAATTTCTCTTAATGCGGAGCGTAACTTCAAGTCGGCCTAGCTTGGCTGGAATGAATACAACCCTAGCTCTGCGAGAGCAAACTCCACGAGTGGTCCGGCCTTTAATAAGCCGGGACTTATAAACCATATCTATGCTTAAGATGAAGTTGAAGTCGAACTTTAAGTTGCTGAGCAGCAACGTGTTAAAAGACGGTGTTATGTGTGTTGAAGCACTAAGGGATTGTGGCCTGGATCAACTTTGCGTAGACAGCTCCAGGATACGAAGTAACACTTTGCCCCGATCCAGGAGTCTGGCATGGCACGGGGAAACGTCAATACCCAGTAGGCGCAGAGAGTCCTACTGGGGAAGCTCCCGGTTCCGTAACACATTTAGGGGGTAAAGCTGAACACGTCTTATCTCCAAAGAGCTCCATACCTACTGGTATGGAGCGTGGATAAAAGTCTGGCTAGTTGGTCGCTAAATCGAGAGATAAAGGCTTTGATAAGCCTTGGTCGATTTTAATCGATTCGTGGGCTTCTTGTAATTATGCTCGACGTCGCTCCCTTAGAGGAATTCAGCGTTATGCTGAAGCGCTTATAGCACATGAGGGTGATTCAGTAATAGTTCGTTTAGCGACTGGAAGTTGTGTCACTGTACCTAGAGTTCCGTTGAAGTTAGGTTTACCGTTTTTGGGTTTTGATGGCATTAAACGCTGTCTTGTCCTTGATTTGGGCTCGAGATATAATCTTATCCTAGGTATTGCTTGGCTTAAACACCATGAGCCATGGATTCATTGGAGGTCGGAGGCCTTAGGCGCTACGCACAATGTTCTTAGCGAAGTTTTGGAGAGTAATGAACCTTCCTTTGCTAGGCAACAAAAGCACTATTGGCGCGAGCATTTGACAGAAGGTGTCAATGTGCTGGACATTGGAATGTCTGAGCTAATTAATTACAATGCTGAAAACATGAATGCAGAGCTTAGGTCGTTGAATATTAGTGATAAGCCACCTAGTCCGCTGAGTATCACTCGTTTTTAATAACGAGCCACTGCATGGTGAAAGCATGGCTGGCCTAGGGTCGAGTTATAAAAGATGTGATTACTTTGATGTGTGTATGATGGCACGTAAAAATGCACCGAATGCGGTCGGCCGTGAAGGCACCACACTTAATTTCGGTGATGACATGGTTGGCGAATCACCGTCCAGTTTGGGGCTCGGCCCGCATAATGTACGTGGATTGGCAAGCGGAAAATCACCGGGTGAAGTTTTTGAGTTCTGTAGCACTTCACCGGAGCGTACTACCATCAATAGTAATAAAGGGGACAGTAGTGTCCCGACCCCTAAGGGGTGTAAGGTCTCCAAGAGACGACTTGGACGTCAGCTGGAAACTGTTACGCGCCAGGCGTCCACGCAGTTACTGAGTGATAATAGTTATACACTGTATACGCTTGTGAATGGAGTGACCGGTCAGATTAATGGCAGTATTAGCCTTGAGACCCTTCCATCTTTGGATGATCTGTGTGAGCTGGACGAGATGTCTGTTGGCGAGTTTATACAGGCCTTAATGGCAGGAGATTTATCCGAATTAATGGTCATTAGACCCGATGCTGAGTTGAAGTCGTCCACATTAATGGATAAGTAAGTCCCACAAGACACCAAGGCAGCACTAAGGGCCCGGAGTTGGTCTTCAGTCCTTAAGACTATATGAATCCACTCTTTTTTAAGAAAGGGAAATTTCAGGATGAGGTGTGTCACAACCCCTATTCTGTCTTACCTCTTAATAGAGGTGTACGTCATGAAATTGACCTAGATCCAGGAACGAAATACTGCGTAACACGGCAGTGGACTTTGCCTAAAGAAAAGTGTGATGTCACTAAAAACTTCTTTATTGCAATAACGCGGCTGAAACGGTTCGTAAGAGTAAATCTTCCCATGATACACCGAAATCTAGTGTCAAGAAGCCGAATAGCAAGTGGCACATTGTGCATTCTCATGATAAGTTTAATGCAGCAACTATACCGGCGCAGACGTCTATTCCTATTAAGGATGTTCCTTAGAACGATATGGTAGGATGTAAATTTTTTGTGCAGTGCACTGAACTTAGTAGATGGTTACTACCGGCCGCTTATGCGAGCAAGTGATATTCCGCTTACAGCGGTGAATAATCCGAGCGGTATGCTCTGGAAGTGACTCGTTATGCCACAAGGGCTGTCCAACGCCCCGGCTACGTTTAACCGTCTGGTGACGCAACTGTTAAGACCTCATCTAGGTTACTCACAAACGTACTTTGACGACATCTTTGTCCACAGTCGTGCAACGAATAGTCGATCAGATGTGGATAACCATTGATCATTTACGAGCGGTGCTCGAATGCATGCGCACGAATAAATTGTACGCTAATGCATCTAAGTGCATCTTTAGTCCAAAAAGATTCTTTTTCTAGGATGTTTCACTAAATGAGCGAGCCCTCGAGCTATATCGCTAAGGTAAGGGCCATAGTTGATTGGCTAGTTCCTAATAACCAAAAAGACTTACGTAAGTGGCTTGGCCTTGCCAATTACTTGCATAAGTACAGTGCGAATTAAGCATACATGACTATACCATTATCCAATCTCCTTAAAAAGGATGTGGGTTGGTGTTGGGGTAATACCAAGCACGATGCTTTATAGCGTTTCAGGAGAGTCTCCTTCATGCGCCAGTATTGGCTTTACACGATCCTTCTCGGCCCTTCAGTGTTGTTTGTGATGCATCTGACATTGCCATTGCCGGTGCTCTGTTGCAAACAGATGCTGATGGACGCGAGCGCGTCATTGCGTTTAAGTCTCGCCAGCTTAAAGCTGCTGAAAAAGAAGACTATCCAGTTCACAACAAAGGACTACTCGCTATGAATTATGCTTCAGCCAAATTCAGAGTACATCTGCTTGGCTTAAAGCCTTTTGTGATCTATAAAGATCATGCGTCATTGCACACTGCGACACAGTCGCCGCATATCCTTAGCGAATGGCTCGTTGGCTTTCTTCTTGCCGAATATAACTTCGAGGAGAAGTATAAGCCAGGAAAGTAAAATGCCTAGGCTGATGCGCTATCGCGCCGACCTGACTATGAGCTTACTAATGTTACGACACTGTCGTCATCATTCCCTGAATTAATCCGTGCGGCTTACGCCAAGGATGAACAATGTGTAGCTTTGCTACGGGCTCTTAGAAGCGATGAGTTTAAAGACTCGGACATAGAATTGTCGGCACGTTTACGTGCGAGGCTACATCGATATTCCATCGATAATGGCCCGCTGTGCTATCGCACGGATATTGAGGATACCCCTCTGTTTCTCAAGATGAGGAGTTAGAGCGTCGAATTCTCTATGAGGAACATGATACTGCTTTAGTTGGTCATCTCTGTTGTGCGAAGACTTATGGCTTGGTGAGCCAGGCTTATTGGTGGCTTGAACTAAAAAATGGGTGAGAGCTTATGTGCGTACGTGCAAAACGTGTCAACGGGTCAAACTCTCATCACATGCGGCTGCGACGCTGGCTATTCTTCCTGTACCCACTGCGTGTTGGAAGTCCATGAGCATAATTCTTGTATTCGGTCTACCGAAGGATTCGGAAGGCAACACTGGTATTGTGGTCTCTGTTGACCGTTTGAGCAAGATGGCTCATTTAGCGGCTGTGCCGGATACGATCGATGCTGAAGGCGCGGCAAAGCTGTTTATCGATCATGTGTTTCGACAACATGGTTTTCCTGTGGCAATTGTCTCTGATAGAGATCCACGCTTCACTGGTAAGTTTGGAAGCCTATCTTCAATGCGCTCGGCACCCGATTGTACATTTCAACATTGGATCATCCGCAGACCGATGGTCAAACTGAGTGTGTTATTCGCGTCATTAATGACATTTTGCGCAGTATTTGCGCTAATACGCCACAGAGTTCGATCTCAATGCTCCCTGTTGTTGAAATTGCATTGAACAACGCTATTCGTGCCTCCACAGGCTTCACTCCGTTTTTAATGAACGGTTTCATCCACCCTCGCGTTTCGTTAACGCTACCACTCTTTGCTGCAGGTCTTGGTGGGGGAGAGGTTGCTGATCGGCTTGCTGATATCAGCCCTGCTACTGTTCAAAAACAGGTAAGTGAGTTTCTCGCAGTGCGATTAAATGTCTTACTACATGAGCGTGACGCAATGGATGATAGCCACGATCAACAAAACCAACAAGCTGATGCCAAAGGCAGAAATTGTATTGAAAGTTATAAGGTCGGAGACCAAGTACTACTCAATGCCTAAAATTTACCTACAAATGTAGTGTCTGCTGTATTTTAAGACAAAGTTGCGTCCGCACTTTATTGGACCGTTTACGGTCATTGCTAACAAGGGTCTGGCATCTTCTCTCAACCTTCCACGTAAATTGAGCACACACATCTGTATTATACGTAGGCTTACTTAAGCCGTACCGGGATCCTTCTTATGAGAACTTTGAGGCGCTGGTGCCGACGACGAGGGCGGTGCCCCGGATTGCTGCAAGTGTATCAGCAAGTCCAACTGAGCCTCGATTAGAGTATGAGCACGCTCCATCGCCTGATGGCGGCTCTGCATCGCATCAAGCATGTATTGGGTCTTAAACAAGGTCTCTTAAAGACCAAGCACGTAGACAACTAATTTTTAGTGGACTGCCACCGGTACACCGGCAACCACCGACGCTGCTCGATGAGCATGAGTGTCATCATTTTCATGCCGAGAGACAACTGAAACGACGTCATAGTCATGGCCACTACCAGTATCTGGTAAAGTGGTGTGGGTACACTGAGTCTGAGAACTCATAAGAGTACGAGGTATCTCTACGGCAAGATTGTCCTTATGCTTTAAATGTTTTTAAACATCGTGGCCAAGGTCATCGTGGGACCGAGGCCCTTCAACCACTAGTGTTTTGAATTGGCGGGCTGGTGGTCATCGTCTGACCAACACTCGCGGCTACCGTAGTAGCCGAAGCATCTTGCGTGGGATTACGCAATTGGCCTCTGGACTTAAGCTTCGCAAAGTCATACCGAAGTTTGCGTTCGAGACGCACATCAGCCACAATAACACTAGCTCTTAGAGCAGACATACTGCTGTGGCGACGCATTCGGTGCGCCCAGCGGTCAAAGCCATTGTCTTCTTCGCTCTTTGTATCGCCTGCAAACAAGAGAATGGGTATACCCTTGATCGGTGGGATCGGTGGACGACGTGCTTGCATGTCAAGGCTTGCCTTGTATTGACCTTGGGTCGTTAGTTGAGGCTCCAGGTACCTCTCGCGAAGTGTCTGGCCGCTCGCCACCTCCTCGGTAGACTTAGGCCTATGGCCAATGATCCACGTTGCCAACGATTGGCCGGCCGCTTGACGTAAGCGTTCCTCCACACTAGGAGAAGTGAACACATAGTCACGTTGGTGGTCGAGGGTTGAGATCATTTGCGCATGGCGCCGACTTCTTTAATAAAAAAATAAATGTGCTTCGTGCATTAACATTGCCAATCACTCATTCATGTATCAGCAATATGAATGCACGAAGCAAATTATCCTTTTTCCTTACGTTATATCTGACAGCTTCAACGATGTTGAGAATGTCATTGTCGTTAGCTCTTTTTCTCGCTTTGACAGAGAATTAAAGCAGTCGCACTTAGATCGTGCTTCGAGTATTCGCATGTCAAAGGGTTGCTGAAATGCTAAGTCGTGCGTCATCAACGCGTTTCTAACACATCAGGTTCTTGAATCGCAAATGTCCATGCGATCATCTACACGAGACCGATCTGTTAACCGAGAGCTTACATATTAGTAACGCTTAATTATATCCTTAACAGCGTATCGTTATGCTTGACAATTCCTCACGCAGGCACAATGCTTATATGTGTGGGCGATGAGCGGGAGCACATATCAAGGCTTAAAATCGCTTTTTTTCGTCTATTGTGTGTTGCCCTGTTTCTTTTTGTATTGTAGAGTACAAGAGAAAACACGTAGCCTATAACATAAGGGTGTTTAGACCTGCCCGGAGCGTGCGCAACTATTTGTAAAGAGAAGAAAGAGATTTGTGACTATCTATTACTTATTTCATCCTGCGTTAGAAGTCTAAACTCGTCTGATCCAGGAATACTGCACAGGACGCAGCGATGTTTTGTGGCACCTTTGTAGTCGTAGTGGTTCTTTACTTCACTTTAGGGCAGATAGGATAAAACTGGCATGAAACTGAGCCCCTAACGCCACTGTTCCTGCGGCTTCGTGTTCTTGCATACATTAGGCTGATAGATGACGTAAAACCTTACCTCAGATGCCTACAGCACTTGCAGACGTCGTGGACTGCGCGCTACAAAAGACGTCATCATTTCGCTCACAAATTACGTGTGTGATGCAGCTAGAGTTCATTAAGAACCATATCCTTCTTCACACGTATTCTCCAGCCGCGACACTATTTTGAAACCTTTCTAACAATCGATACCGCCGAAGCGCCAAAATTGTTGGAGCCTGGAGGTTTGCACAGTTGCCGACGCATCACAAGAAGACATGAGAATAGCAAAAGCGCCAGTCTAGTGTCTGATGAACTTTCCCCAGCTCGCGCGCGCCTTCGGGCATTCCAAAAAGTGAAGTGAAGTCTCAGGCTCCCTGTGACAATCCTGCAGTGCACGGCAGCAATTGTCCTTGGGGCGCCCCGCGTAATAAAAATTGCATTGCTAGTCGCTTGGTGGCGATGCAATTAACCTTCTAACCTTGAAAATTGGAAAGATTGTTGTCACGCTTCCCGACCTGGGAGGAAAGGTGACAAGCCGCCGCCTACAGCCATTTATTCGTGCTGATAAATTAATTTATCGATCAAGCAAGGTTGGATGGGAAAGGAAGCAGGTGTGAAGATAAAACTCGTTTCGATAGACTAATTGACATGTGAAAACATTAGGTGCAACGGGGTAGCCCGTTACATGATGTTGACACCAAACGGTGCCAGTAAGGATATTGTCTAACATGACAATATTCTACCAATACATACTATCCGAGATGGATAATAATGAAGGAATGTTATCCTTTGATAATATTCATGCGCTGCTCCAAGATTGGTTAATAAAAGCCATGTCAACCATAGATTTCCACCAATCTCTGCCAGACGCGCGCAGTAAGTGGTGAGCAAGTTGTCTTCATACAACGACGTAGTTTAATATATTTGGATAAGGATTTAAGTTATGTTGATAGCTTAACTATATGGAATACAGTTCTCTTTTTACCTTTACTTAAACGAGTCGATCAAGTAGATTAGCTTCCTCTGCACACACTAGTGTACGTGAAGTTTCGTGGCACCCCAGACAAAGGGGCCCCGTTACACCTGGTAGCACTTTGTAGTCCATCCGACGACTACTTAGTATCCGTCCAACATGAACATGTTGGACGTAGAAGACGACAGCTTTCACGTCACACGTGAATGCTACTCCCATTTGAGTGACTCAGAATGGGAGGTAGTCGGCCGCATGAGTGTGATCATGGGCGGACCCGCCATCAGTCGTATGTTGGAGTGTGATCATGGGCGAACCCGCCATCAGTGGTATGTTGTATTGCAACATGCTGCTATCACAAGTTCCTACAAGGAGAACTTGCCGTCGAAAAACAGAAGATGGCCTTGCTATAACAGTAAGGCTATCATCGGTCTATGGGCGGGCCGACGCACATGCGTCGACCCGAAATCTTGAAGATTGATACCTACAAGGGAACCGATGAAGATATTCTATTGAGATGTTTTGTCAAGTTAGACGATGCCACCAGAGCCCGTCACATTGAGGGTGGCGTGATGCAAGTCACGTTCGACCTATCAAATTTGACAAGATGAACAAAAACTTAAGATTTGCAGCTCAAGCTTCACCGACCCAAACGTGTTTAAGTCGTTAAAGATCTTGAAGTCACGGCTTAAAGAGACGTTTAAGCCACCGAGAGCCGAGTTCAGAGCACGCTCTGCACTCTTAAGGCTAATGCAAGGTGAGCGTGATATACATGCTTACGCACAAACTTACACTACCTTGCAAGTAGCGTCACGGAATACCCTGTTGATGAGCACAAGCTCATCAACGTGTTCATCTACGGTCTTGTAGATGGGCTGGTGAAGACCTACATGTTCCGAGAGGACTTCCACACGCTGGAAAGGCGATAGTGTATGCGGAACAAGAAGACTTCAGCCTGAGACAGTCTCAGGCTATCTCGTCAAACTATCTTCCGACGAGACGACAGGAAACCGGAGGTCCCGAATCAATGGACCACTGTTACATCAAGAGCGAGAGCTCTTGCTCTCTGAGTAACAAGCGAACGGCAAGATGCCATCTCTGTCAGAAGATTGGACACTACGCTCATGAGTGTAGTGTCCCCAGCACAGCAACATGTCCAAAGACAGGACGTGGTGATCCCCGCTGGCCAAGGAACGGTCCAAGGCGTGGTTCCGACCATGTCGCTAAGCCGCGACAGCAAGTCGGACCGCCAAAAAGCTGTCAGGGTCAGTAGGTGCGGAGCAACCTGCTGATCCAGCAACGTCAAGAGAATTTGTAGGACTCTTGACGAAGATTGCTCCCAACACGCAGTCTCTGTGTGTTACTGCCCTTAGTGATGAGGAGTCTCTCATCATTTTGAAGATCGAAGTGACAAGTGGAATGTCAATTCGCGCCCTAGTTGACTGTGGTGCTTCGAACAGTTTTATCCGACGCCAGTCGCTTAGGGATAGTAGTCTCAACTATGTTGAGCGAGAGTTCCCTCCAACGAGGATGACGGTATGCCTTGCAACAGGCGCATCCGTAACGGCGCAAAAACCTGTAGTGGGTATCTACTACACGCTAGAAGGAAATCAGTACGATGATGACTTCATCATACTGATTTGGATGACAAATTGAATGTCATCCTTGGTCTGCCATGGCTTAGAAAGTACCGGCCATGGGTTAGCTGGCAGTATCGATCCGTGAAGATGCCTGCCGTTTGTTCATCGGATGGCCATCTGATTGACGTCTCGGAGCGTTTAAAAGCGTGTGGATGTACTACGAGTGAGTGCGATGGCCTCACTTGTGGTACGGTCGTTAGTACGACTGCAAAAGATCAAAGCGTAGAAGGCCACTGCACTGTGGAACCAGTTTCCGGCACTTGTGTAGAGACAAAGGCTGCGCCGAAGGTTCACCACCCGAAGCGATCGAGTGGATTGGAACACGGATGCACACCAAGAAGGGTGCATCCAAAACGAGAGGTCGGTGTTGTCCAGGATGAACAACACGTTATGGAGATCGACTGTCAGAGAGTCGATCTTAGAGCAAGTCCTATCGACTGAAAGAGAGTCGATCGAAGAGGACGTGACTTTGGTACTACATTCACAGTCAGTACACGTAATGGAAGAAAGTTTCAGCGTTCCTGAGAGTGGTAACCCCCCAGAGAGTTATGGCGAGGGTGTGGATCCCCAATCACCTACGGATTTGTTTTCCCAGGAAATCACCGAGACGTTGAATATCTTGGTGAGTGACGGATCAAGTGTAGGCGCTAACAAAGCTTGATCAGGTTACACCTCTGAAGTCAGCTTTGGAGGTAGTCGAGTTGCCAACGCTAGAATCTAAAAGATTCTTTCGAGGTCTGCGTTGTGACAAATTCAAGCAGATCTGCGTACTCGTCATGGAGGACGAGCACGTCGCCGATATTCGGTCAGCACAAGTGTTTGCTGAGAACGAACGGGATCTCAGTAGCTCATCGATGGACGAGAGTGTCATCGATGAGAAGACCCGGACTGAGCGATACACGTCTCACTTTTGGGAGTCTTTAAAGACAAATCCTTTGTATAAGGATTTGGTTGAATTCAGGAATGTTTTCCCTGAATCCGTGCCATGCGAGATGCCCAAGGGCAAAGGCACTCGGGATGAGATCGAACTGAAACCTGGTTCGAAATACTGTGTCATGAAGAAGTGGTTACTGCCTCGTGAACAGGTCACAGCGATCGACAATTTCTTTGCCGATCGTTTAGCGGCTGTTCATGTGAGGGAATCAACATCCCCACAAATCACTCCAACCTTCTGTGTGCGAAAAGCCACAGGAGGGTGGCGGATATTGCACGCGTTTAACAAACTGAATGCTGCAACGGTACCGGCTCAAACGTCGATCCCAAGGAAGGACGTCATCATAGATGGTATGGCAAAAAGTACCATCTTTTCGTCCATGGATCTGATGGATGGATTCTATCAAATCCTCATGAGATAACGGGACAAACCCTTACACAGCACTGAGCACCCCAGCGGTATGCTATGGGAGTGGCTGGTGATGCCACAGGGGCTAAGTAACGCCCCTGCAACTTTCAACAGATGTCTTACAAATCTGTTGAGATCGGTGCGCGATTTCGCACCGAGTTACTTCGACGATGTCTTCGTCCATGGCCGGGCTATGAATGGAAAGACGGACGTGGAGGTTCATAGAATTCACGTCCGGAAGGTTCTTACTCTAATGCGAGAGCATGAGTTGTTCGCGAAGCTCAAGAAGTGTGTATTCGCAGCGAACAAAATACCACTTCTTGGCTGCATCGTGGGTAAAAACGGTGTACGCCCTGATCCAAAAAAGATCAAGGCGATTAGCGACTGGTCTGTGCCAGTCGACGTCAAGGGACTTCGAAAGTTCCTTGCCTGGGCGGCTTACTTGCACGAGTACAGAGTACGAGTCTGTGCTAGTCGACGTCAAGGGACTTCGAAAGTTCCTTCACTTGGCGGCTTACTTGCACGCGCGCAACTACGCCGAGATGACCATACATCTCTCTCGTCTGTTAAAGATTAAGAAGAGGTGATCACGGAGCGCTGAGTGTCAGCACTCTTTTGAAAGCATCAAGATCGGCTTGATACAATCGCCTGTGTTGGCAATTGCAGATCAGGATAGACCATTCCATGTGGTCTGTGACGCCAGCGATTTTGCAATCGGCTGCGCGTTAATGCAGTACGACTCAGACGGCGCAGAGCGCGTCGTCTGTTATCAATCGCGTCAGCTGCAAGCAGCTGAGCGAAATTACCCGGTGCATGAAAAGGAACTCCTTGCCATAAAATATGAACTAGCTAAATTTCGGGTATATTTCTTAGGAGATATGCCCTTCATCATTTATACCGACCATGCGTCGTTACGCACGGCCTTAAACGGTCCACACCTCTTGCAATGAATGGCGAGTTGGCTTTCTTTCTTCGCGGCGTACAACTTCTCCGTCGAGTATGAACCAGGACGACTTAATGTCGTCGCTGATGCTCTTTCGCGTCGGCCCGATTTCGAGCCGACTGCTCAACCGAACAGTAGGGGTGATCTCATTGTTGCTGCACTATCACTAAGTGTTCCTTCATCGAATCTTCTCGACGAAGTGCGAAGAGCATACGCAGAAAAAGAGTCTATTCTGCGTTTGATGGATTATGTAGCCGATCAATGCAGTCAAGCTTTGCAAAGCTTGTCGTCTCAATACCGCTCTTCAACCGAACGGTATTCTGGTCGTGATGGACTGCTGTACTATACAGTAGTCAACGGCGACACACCTCGTGTCGTCGTTCCGGCTCATAATGAGTTGCGATTGATAATCATGTATGAGTGTCACGATGCCCCAACAAGTGGACATCGCGGTAGGAAAAGACTTACCTCACGGTGAGTCGTGACTTCTACTGTCCCCGCCAGTATGAGTTTGTGCGCAAATACATTCGCGCTTGCGAAGTTTGTTAACGGGTGAAGCCTAGTCCTTCATCCCGCGCACCCTTGCAGCCTCTGCCGATTCCGGCAGAGTGTTGAAAGTCCGTATCGATGGACTTCGTCTTTGGGTTTCCCAACGTCGTTCATGCGAATACTGGTATTCTTGTGTTTGTTGATCGGTTCAGCAAGATGGCAAGATGGTACATCTTGTTGCAGTACCAAAGTCAATCACAGCCCAGGACTGTGGGCGTGTATTCATCGATACTATCTTCCGACATCACGGGTTACCCCGTGAACTCGCGTCTAACAGGGACCCCCGCTTCACAGCGGAGTTCTGGCAATCCGCGTTCCGTTCACTTTAAACACGTTTGACGATGTCAACTTCTGACCATCCCGAAACAGATGGTCAAACGGAACGCGTCAACCGCGTTCTCGAAGAGACACTTCGAGGGTATGTACACTCGTTTACGAGCTGGAGTGAGTTTTTGCCGACGGCGGAATTCGCCATCAAAAATCGGTGCATGCGTCGACAACGCATACACCGTTCTTCGTGAATGGTCTACGCCATCCACGTTTACCCGCCTTTTAAGAGTGTGACTCTAGTTTACGGGGGGGGGTGGACTCGCTCGAACAAAAACCGATCAGGTTCTTGCTCATCACCCGTCGGCAATGGTGTCGACGTAATGATTGCCGATGTCGATCGCATCGACATAATGACGATGATGACGACAATGATGGTATATTCAGCATCGTCAAGGACTGCCAAAGTGAGGACGATGACACCCTCAATGGTAAAGACAACGTTCTTTCATCAGTGCACACGAAGCGCACTTCTGTTGACAATGATGAATCAGCAGAGGAATTGCTGCTGACTCGCGAAGCAGTTGTCCGCTTCATTCGAGACTCTATTGCAGATGCACTAGACGGACAGAAACGAAATGCAGACAAACTTGGAAAAGCAAATGCTCTTTCATTTGATGAAGGAGATTTAGTTTTACTGTTTACAGTTAACTTGCCAAAACACGCAGTGACAAACGTGGGCAGCAGTAAATTACTGCCCAAGTACATCGGTCCATTTCGTGTGTTGCGCCGAATGGGCAACGAATACACGATCGAACTACCTTGTACGATGCGTACGCATACAACGGTTCACGTTGGTCGTCTCCGCCCGTACTATCAGTACGAGCCCGTTTCGAGATGAGAAGAACACCTCCGCGGTCGAGAGCCGAGACCACCTTCGAGTGGTCCGTTTCAACGAGCCAGTCTGGTCGACTAGCGAAGCGAACTGTTCACGCAGCTCAGCGATGTCTCGACGAGCAGCAGCCAGTTCGTCACGAAGAGAACGAGTCGAACGTTCCTTCTCAAGTTGCGCGAACGCAAATGCGACACGATCGTCCGAACGAACGTGCGTTAGGGAATTGTAGTTATCCCTTGCAAGATCCTCAAGCCCATAGCGCCGAGTCCGTTCGTGAGCCAGGTCATCTTGCAACTGTTCCGTTAGACGGTTCAGCTCTTGAACATTAAGCTGATCCGACCCTCGAGCCGGATCAGGAGTTCCCGCCACCACCACATCCTTTGGTGGACTCAAGCGGTGGTCAAAGCTTCCTAGTGGAGCGTATCTTGAACCACCGCGGTGTGAAGAGCGTCCGGACGAGTTACCTCGTCCGCTGGCGTGGCTATCCACCGGACTGGGACAGATGGGTGCCTCGCGCCCAGCTGATTGTCGTTGCTCTGGGTCTCGTCGAGCAGTATGACGAGACCCACCCGCTGTGTTCGAAGAAGGGCCGTCGGAAAACGACCTCTTCGAATGTGAGTACAGGGATTGCAAAGTGTCAATCCCTTCGGCCATCTCAGAAGAGATGCGCGCCCTCCAGTAGGGATCATTGGGGAGGTAGGCCTCCCTAGGAGCACGGTTTAAGTTGTCTAGTCAACCTGGACACGAATCACCGCACGAAAAATAGGATAACCCTGCCTATCTTGACAATCGGTGCAACTTGTATTGCGCCCCGACTGGGTTGCGTTTCTCAAACCTGATGCGACCTGCATCAAGTTTGGCGAGCCAGGCCTCACGGCCAATGCACTCGATGTTATGGATGAGGGCATTCCATCCTTACACCAAGGCTTTGCCGTCTCGAACACGGCTGCCATTGTACCACCGATGTTTGACGAGCACATCTCGGTGAAGAATTCTTCACCAGCACGGATAGTTTCCGTGCTGGAAGTAGGAGGACAAATCCTTCTACGAGCAACGGGATTTGATCCCGTTCGGTAGTCATGCCGGCCAACCAATCCAACTATATGGATGATGGCATCCACGGAGACTCCACTTGAGGAGCGTGGCGCAGGATATTTCGGTCCCTGGCCTCTTGATTGATGTCAGAATAAGAACTGACACCAGTAGCAGCTCAATCCATCGAGTTGCTTCTCTCGTGGTGACGTGTAGGTGCGTAACCACCATCAATACGCGTCCTTGTGTCCGATGGACTTGCGTGAGACGAGGATTCGTCAGACGAATCACTCAATCCGAAGATCTCGGACATGATGGCACAAAGTTTCCCAGAGTCAGTAAATCTGGCTCTGGCCGTGTTCACCTTGGATGAACCGGAGGCGTGAGGTGTCGCCTTCGAGTCGGACGCATCATTCGACTCGCCAGAATGGGTGAGCTCAATTTCACGCTCATCTGGATTACGATTCGCGGTACCCGCTGCAGACGCAGCGGATGTACCTGTCGCACATGGTGACTCACCACGTGAACTCTTTACAAAAGGCACCGCCTATCGCTGAGGCGTGAGAAGTACTCTCTTTGGTTGCGCACATGCGTGCAGCCGCCTTTCTTGCTGCTGCAGTAGCAACTCGCATGGTTTTTGAAACCATGCGTTAGATTAACAAATGAATGGAATTTGACCAGCAAGTGCTCCCTTTCCCAGAGTGATCCAACGGTGGTCTCCCCATCAATTCTAATTTAATTAACGGGTAATTGATGGTTAGGGGGGTGATGTAACGGGGTAGCCCGTTACATGAAATTAACACCAAACGATGTCAGTAGGAATATTGTCTAGCATGATAAAAAGAAAAATTTCACCAATATTTTCCGAGATAGATAATAATAAAGGAATGTCATCCTTCTTTAATAATATTCATGCGCTGCTCCAAGATTGGTTGATAAAAGCCATGTCAACCATAGATTGCCACCAATCGCTGCTAGGCGCGCGCAATGAGTGGTGAGCAGGTTGTCGTCATACGACGACGTAGTTTAATATATTTGGATAAGGATTTAAGTAATGTTGATAGCCAAACTATATGGAATACAGTTCTCTTTTTACCTTTACTCGAACGAGTCGTTCAAGTAGACTAGCTTCCTCTGCATGTACTAGTGTACGTGAAGTTTCGTGGAACCTAGAAAAAGAGTGCCCCGTTACAACACGAGCACACAGACATGGATTATCGGCGGTCAAGAGTGCCATGATGTACGCTGTATCGAGCTATTCGAGTATGAACCACAAAGGTCACCAGTCACAGCTAGGTTGAATCATGAACAGCCCCCGGGTTCACCGGCGCTTACATCTTGGCTAAGGCTATACCAGACATCTTACGCATAGTTAATTCCGTGTAAATAGACTACCTGAAACAGTATTTCGTCGGCGCCTTGCTGATCGACACCATCATCTTAGCAAAGTGACTTGTCTGTGCGTTCCACATCGCCAAAGCCCCTTCACACTCTACAGAAAAAGTCTACGCTCACTCACTCGCTGTTTGATTTTCGGCGTTCTTGGCACTCTTACATTCGGCACTTTCGGCACTAAAGGGAGCGTTGCCGAATTTATAGAGGTCTGCTCTAAACCCATGAGGTGGGACAGGCTAGATCAGATCAGGCTAGATCGCACTATGTACGTGAATTGTAACCTAACCGCGTTATTTACAAACACACACAGATAAGTACGATTTAAAAGCTCGGCATTCAACCTACACGCAATCCGAATAGCTTCACCCTTCGGACTCGCAACAATGGTCTTACCATAATGACACCTTAAAATTTATGGAAATTCTAATCCTGCTCTGAGTGGTGTGCACGGATGAATGGAGCCTCGGAAGCAGATGCAATTACCATAAAGAGAAGAACGCGATCAAAGGGAGACCATCGTGTTGTGGAAATCCGCACGGATTTTGTGGAATCTTGACCGAGTTTGAGGTGTCCACGATGGTTACATTCTGTTTGCAACTTGAAAGTATCGAGAACAGATGAAGAAGATTGCTGCTCTGATCGTGCATTGGTTATAGTCAATTCGACAACTGAGCGGTGGAGGGGGGGGTCTATCGGCTGGATTTACAGCCACGACGATCATTTTTAGTTTCAAGAAATGCAAGCTCATTCCGTTGTTGTGTTATTTTCTTCAGGCCAACAGGGACCCGATCTCTTCCCTTTGTGTGCCGAAATTGAACAATGATCATGAGCTTTCACTTAAGTTCGCCGAGTGGCAAGTACACTAATCACCGCAAAGACGAAAACACACAACAAGTCCAAGCTGCAGGATACCGTCGAGAAGGTGGATGCCACCGTGACTCTGCACAATGTGGCTGTCAGTTGTATTTGCAGGAAAGAGCGGTTGTGGTGAGTCGGGTGCAACCTGAAGGAGGAACTGACGACAAATGACAGAAGTAAGTGGGAAGTGCAGCCGTACTAATCGCTTTTAAAGATCAGCTTAATCGGACGCAGTCCAGAATATCTTACGGCCCTCTTGCTTCTTACTCAGCGCAGACGCCGAGCTCTTTTAAACCGACAAACCGCACCTGACCTGGCAGATGTTTCTATTTTACAATGCTTTCATCATGCAGCGTGTTTTTTTTGGTATTACAAGCGAAAAGACGAGCACTCTTACAAGACGTAGTCAAGCGTTTGCTATGTTGTATAACGGGCAGAGACTCATCAAAGTACGCATCCAAGCACATTGTTTGATTCTTCGATGGCGACGGATACTCAAGTGTTATTCGGCTTACACAAGCACAGCAGTAACGTGTAAGCTGTGCGCTGTTGGCTTAGACATCATCTCCCTACAGTCTAAAAAAAACCTTTGTAGCCCCAACATGTAACGGGGTGAACCGTTACATAACAAGTTATAAGAAATTGTTAATAGAATATAACTATAAGAGTCATGTTCTCAGAATATTGTCATAAGGACAAATATTCTGCAGCACTTACGAGTAGTTCCTAATTGGTTGATATAGGCCATTATATCAACAAACGAAGACGCGCCACGACAGACGCACGCAATGAGTGGTGAGCAGATAGTTGATATGCACATTTGTATTCAGACATAGTTAGATGAGGATAAACAGTGATTTATTAACAGACATTAACTATGATAAATACAGTTCTACTTTTTACTTAAACTGAGTACTCGCTTCTTCTTACCGTCTTCCTCTGCACGTACGAGTGTAGGTGAAGTTCCGAGGCACCGCCTTATTCTTTCATCAGAATAAGTAGCTTGTACTGCCACCAGTACAAGCTTCAGAGTGCCCCGCTACACCTGGTAGCACTTCGTAGTCCGTCCAAGGACTACGTTCACATCTAACATGAATATGTTGGATGATGTAGATGACCAAAGCTTTCACGCTACGCGTGACGGCTACTCCCATTTGAGCGATGTCGAATGGGATGCGGTTGAACGGATGGGTTCGACCATGGGCATCCATGCTGTTAGCGTCATGCTAGAGGCTCTCAATAGAGATGCCCAACATGCTACTATCGCCAAGTTCATTCAAAATGAACTTGACGCCGAACGCGAGAAAGTAGCCTTGCTTCACCAACAAGGTTCTCAACAAGCAGAGTTGTTGAGAGAACAGGGTGCTCAACAGTTTGAACTGTTGAGACAGCAGCAGGCTGCTGCTGGTGGGTCGATGCACTCGCGTCGACCCGAAACCTTGAAGATTGACATCTCCAAGTATAAAGGAGTCAAAGAGGACTCCCTTCTGAGATTATTGGTCGAATTGGACGACGCCATAAGGGCGCGTCGCAACGACAATGGGGAAATGCAAGTTGCATTTGCCCAATCAAATCTGGCAGGACGTGCCAAGACTTGGGCTTTGGGATTCAAGTTGCACGACCCATATGCGTTTGGGTCGTTGGAAGTCTTCAAGTCGCGGCTCAGACAAACGTTTGAACCGCCTAGAGCTGAGTTCAGAGCTCGAACTGAACTCTTAATGCTCAAACAGGGCAAGCGTGATGTGCGCGCTTACGCGCAACATATACGACATCTCACGAGTTGTAAAAGTTCCAACCCGATAGATGAACACACGTTGGTTTCGGTGTTCATGAAGGGTCTTGCGGACGGTTCCGTCAAGACTCACCTGTTCCGACTTGAACTGGATTCACTAGAACAAGCCATTTCCATTGCGGAACAGGAAGACTTCAGTCTGAGACAGGCTCGCGCCAGCTCGACATCGTATCGTCAACCGAGGCGATATGACAACGGAGGTCCAGAGCCGATGGAACTCTGTTATGTAGAGAGCGAGAAGGCTCGCTCCACAGACTACAAGAAGTTGCATAAATGCAATAGATGTCAAAAGACAGGACACTACGCTTACGAGTGTAGTGCCCCTCGTCCAGTGTCTCGCAACACTGGTCGTAGTGACCGTCCACCCATGAAAAAGGGGCAGGGACGCGGGTCCGCTGTTGGTGCAAAGACGAAACAACGGGATGGAATGTAAAAAACGGACAGTATCAGCAGGTGCGGAGCACCCTACTGATCCAGCAACGTCAAGAGAATTTGTAGGCCTCTTGATGAAGGTTGCTCCCAACACAAAAACGTTGTGCGTTGCTGCTCTAGGTAATGAGGTCTCACTCATTACCTTGAAACTCGAAGTGACGAATAAGTTATCCCTTCGAGCTCTAGTCGATTGTGGGGCGTCCAACAATTTTGTGCGACGCCAATCGCTAGAAGATGGTCATTTTAAGTTCAGTGAATGTGACACACCTCCTACGAGGATGACGGCACGTCTTGCGACAGGCGCATCCGTAACCGTCATGAAGCGTATAGTGAAGATCCACTATACGCTAGAAGATACCCAAAATTACGATTACTTTATCGTATTGGATTTGGATGACAAATTTGATGTCATCCTTGGAATACCGTGGCTCAGAAGGTACGAACCACGGGTTAGCTGGCAACATCGAACAGTAACGATGCCTGCCGCTTGTTCATCAGATGGCCATCTGATGAACGTTTTGGAGTGTCCACAAGCGTGTGGATGTACTACGAGTGAGTGCGATGGCCTCACTTGTGGTACGATCGTTAGTACGACTGCACAAAACCTTAGTGTTACAAACGGTTACAGTTCGGAGCAAAGTTCCGGCGGCTGTGAGGAAACACAGGCTGCGCCGAAGGTCCACCACTCGAATGAGTCGAGTGGACCGGGAAAAAGACGTATACCTAGCGGGGAACATCTAGAAGAGAAACAATCGATCGCTCAGGTTAAGCGAAACGATAATCCTAGATCGACTGGAGAGTCTTTCGTAGAGGATCTCGCTGTGGTTGCGCAACCACAGCTAGAGGAAGTTAAGGGGATAAGTCTCGATATTACAAATACGGCGGAAATAAGTTCCCCGAAACCCGCGGGAATAAGTCCCCGGGAAGCCGAAGGAATAAGTCCTTCGAGGCCTGAGGGAATAAGTCCCCAGGAAATGACAGAGACATTGAATGTCATAGTCAATAACGGATCAAGTGTAGGCGCTTATACACTTGATCTGATTGCGCCTCCGAAGTTGACTTCGGAGATCACTCAGTTGCCAACGCTCGAACATAAAAGGTTCTTGCGTGATCTGCGTAGTGGCAAAGTCAAGCAGATCTGCGTACTCGTCGCTA